AGCTAGCTCACACTAACTCAGCTTAAAGGGCACACTAGCTGCAAGTGGGGAGTGCGTCTGGAGCAGTGACAGGAGCTTGTCACCGCTTGCCAGCAGCCGACATGGAGCAAATGGAAAGCTCTCTCTTCCCTACACCGGAGCAAGCCAGGAATGAGGTGCGGGTTCCCAGAAAATGACTCCTCGAAGGGCTGACAGGGTGGCTGCTCCATCAGGGATCGCTCACTTGACCTTGCTGTCTGCCGCTAGCGACAGACTCCGTTTCCGGAGCTCTGGGGGTAAATCACACGCTGTCTCCTGTGAGATGGTATCAACGCCTGCTGAGCAAATGGAGACATTTCCAGAGTCTAGACTCAGCAAGCCAGGAAGAACCAGAGCTCTGCAACAGACCAGAGAACTGCTAGGAACTGAGCAGATCTACTCTGGCACATTCTGCACCCGGAGATCGCCGGTGGCGAAGAGAAGAGAGCCAGAAGAGCCGGGATGCCAACTCCAGGAGATGCAAGAAGCCAAGGAACACCCCCCGGGCAGGCGGCTAGTCCCGGTTTCCCCTTTCAAGGGACGCGACAGCCTCAAGGCCAGACAGCGAATGGCTTCTCACAGCAGAACACCAATTATGGGAGAGTTACGGCTGATCGTGCATTTGCGGGTTCGGTCCAATCTCTTCCCCCCCCCCCAGTCACTTCAAGAGCGACAGTCATCAGCCCCTGAGCTTATTTTCAGGACGGATCCCATAAGCCTCTGAAGAGGAGAAGCGTTCCAGTGCGCGCCCAGGATCTAATTAATTTCAAAACCACTTAAGGACCAGCGGTACCCCTCTTGAAATAATGGCATTTTCATTTGGAAGTCTGCATTGCATCCAAGGAACCAGCTCCCGCTCCTTCTTGGCAAAGCGGGTTGCCCGACCTGTGTCAATCGGCAGTTCTGCATTCCAGAAAGACGGAGTGTCCCCCCCAAAAAAAAACACTGGAATTTCTCAGACAAGGACGGGCATTTCTCCCTTCCATTAATCTCTGAATGGAAACGGGGAGGGGGGTTGAGGGACCCTGAAAGGTCTCCTGGGTGGCCGATGATGCCCCCTCTCACAGGGCTCCTGTCAGCAGTAAAAATGAAAGTGGCGTTGAGCCAGACCACAAAGAGGACATTTTCTCTCCTGAACATAAAAAGAGCCCCGCTGGGTCAGACCAATCTCCTCCGACCTAGTCCAGCAACCTGTTTCACACAGTGGCCAAACAGTCGCCCTGGAGAGCAAACGAACAGGGTACGGAGGGGCCAAGGCCTTCCCCTGATGCTGCCTCCTCCTGGCACGGGGATTCCAAGGTTTAGTGCCTCTGAATATGGAGGTTCCCCAAACTCACCATGTCTAGTAACCGCTGATGAATCTCTCTCCTATGAATCTATGCTGGGGAAATGGACCCCCAGTCTCAGAACCAGGAGGCGATTTCACCAACATCTATCCTCATGGCCATCTCTATGACCCCTGGCAGGGAATTCCACAACCGAATTGCTCATTGCATAAAGGAAATGCATCTTTTGGTCTGTCCTGAACCGACTGCTCATCAACTTCAAGTTCTAGTATTACCGGAGAGGGGTGTACTGTTTAAGTGCATCTGGGAAAACCGGGTCTGATTCCCCACTCCTCCACTTTCAGCTGCTGGATGACCTTGGGCAAGCCATAATTCTGTCAGAGCTGTTCTTGAAAGAGCAGTTCTCTCAGAGCTCTCTCAGCCCCACCTACCTCACAGGGGGTGTCTGTTGTGGGGAGGGGAAGGGAAAGGAGATTGTCATCCGCTCTGAGACTCCTCTGGGTAGTGAAGGGCGGGGTATAAATCCAATCTCTTCTCCTCTTCTTCTTTTGACTATCAAGCAGGGTGGGATGCATCGATAGTGAAGCCACAGCTGAAGCACACCAGCTGCCTGGTGGGTCACAGTCACCCAAAAGCTGCCCGAAAAAGAGCAGCCTCAGATACCCTGCAGAACTGAGGGAGGTCCTGCAAGGCACACACCTCTTTGGGCAGCTGGTTCCACAGGACAGGGGAGGCATTGCTGAGAAGGCCCTCACCCCTTGTTGACACAAGGCTGACAGTTCGTGGACCAGGGGCCTTCAATAAATGATGAGATGAACATTGGAGAAGAAGAGTCTCAGAGCAGCTTACCATCTCCTTTCCCTCCCCCTCCCCACAACAGACACCCTGTGAGGTAGGTGGGACTGAGAGAGCTCTGACAGAAACGGCTCTTTTTCATGAATGCCTCTGTCATGATCTGGGCTGTGCAAGCAAGGCCTAGTAGGCCCAGAGAGCCTGGCTAGCAGTAGGGGAGCCTGGGCCTACAAATCCCAGAAGGCCTTGGGAAGTTTTGGTGCCTATTTTGGCCAATAGGGAAGAAGAGGGCTGGGGAATAAAAGAACTGGTGCAAGAGGAGAAGCTGTTCTTCTTCCCAGAGAACAGGGCCAGAAGGAAGGCTGCTGTGGGGAAGAAACCTTCATCCTGTCTAAGGCCACTCAGGATAGTGAGCTAGGGACAGTATATATTTAGACGCATTAGGGCATTTGATTTCTTTTCACCCACTTACTGTTATTATTCCTGCACCTTGTTTGTTTGACCTCCTATAAAATAAACCGTTTTCTTTTTTTCTTTTTTTAAAGTACCCGAGGGTACACATTTATTGTTTTCTTATATTAAAATAAACCGTTTTCATTGTTCACTCTGCCTGGTCCTCACACTCATTTCAGCTAAAAGAGAGGTCTAAAGGTCTGGGAGGGTGCTCTGGGCCTTCTCAGAGGAGCCTGGAACCAGAGTGGTGGCAGCATCAGGTGACACCCCATCTGAACCATGACAACCTCTGACAGAACTATGGCTTACCCAAGGTCATCCAGCAGGTGCAAGTGGAGGAGTGGGAATCAAAACCGGTTCTCCCAGATTAGAGTCCACACACTTAACCACTACGCCAAACTGGAGAAGACAGGGAGGATCATGCCGGGAGAGACAATTTTGAAGGTCTGAGGGTCCCAGGCCATTTACTGATCGGACTTTCCTGGAAACAGAAAGCCCTTACTCAAGGTTAACAGCTGAAGATCCCGTCTAACTGAGTACTGAGGTCTATGAGGAGACATCTGCTGAACACAAGCAAGGATGGCTTTTTATGGATGGGGACCACATCAACACACAAAGCTGCCTTATGCTGGATCAGACCCTTACTCCAGCAAAGTCGGTATTTTCCACTCGGACTGGCAGCAGTTCCCCAGGGTCTCAGGAAGAGGTCCTTCACGTCATCTGCCGCCTGGTCCTTTAACTGGAGATGCCGGGGATTGAACCTGGGACCTTCTCCATGCCAAGCGGATGCTCTACTCCTGAGCCGCAGCCCTTCCGTGGCCACTACCATCCCCCTAACCTGCAGTGGGGCTGGAGAGAAACCATCTGGCTGTTCGATTGGGAACGGAGCCAGCCATTGCAGCTGCCTTTCTCACAAGAAGGAGCCGTGCCTGCTGTGTGCGGGCTGGGGGTGCTGGGGAGGGCAGAGCTTTAAATGGATGCAGATGCCACTTTAGAGATTAGCCACGCGCCTCTGGGTGCCTCCCCTCCCCGCCTCCAACCGCTCCGGGAAATTGCAAACCAGCGGAAGGAATGCATGATTCACCCGCAGGCTCGCTCAACGCTGAGCACCAGGGGCCAAAGCCCAGCACAGCCAAGGATGCTCTCGAGGAACTGGGCACCAGCAAAGCAGCCTGGAGGGCCAGCTGCCAGAGATGCCCAGCATGAAGTGGCTTGGGACCCAGCTCTGCAAGCGCACACACACACACCCCTGCCCATCCAGGTGTCAACCTTCAAAAGCAGGACGCTGCACTGGAGGGACTGCGGTCTGATCCAATGGCTTGGCAAAACAGTACAAAGAATCCAGTTCCACAGCATGCACAAAGTTGCCTAATTCTGAATTAGACCCCCCCCCCCGGTCCATCAAGGTTG